CCCCTCCCCGGCCCCTGCCCAGAAGCTGGCCGCGGGGGCACCGAGACCACCCAGGTCCGGATAACGAGAACAACCGCAGCAATAGTTTGAATCCCCCCTTCGCTAGCCCGGACCCAGCGCTTCCTCGTCAGACGCTTATGGTGCACAGCACTGAATCAAAACAGCCTCCTGGGAGGGGCTGTTAACTTCTTTTAGAAGTGAGGCATCAGGGCCAGAGAGGTGGAGTGTCTCACTCCAGGTCACACAGCTAGTAAGTGGCGGGTGGGGATGAGGGACCCATGCCTTTGGGTCCAGAAACTAGTCGCAGAGATCGCCCCTGACCAACCCTGCACGCATTGCACACCGCCGCCTCCATAGTCACTTCGGAGCCGCACCTGCTGGGTTTTGCTTCCTTCCCCGCGCCCACAGGTCACTAGACAGCTTCCAAGTTGCTCTCGTGTCCCTTCTCTTGAGCTGGAGAGGCAAGGCCCAAACACCGTGGGCCCCTTTAATCGCATTCCCTCTCCGTCTACCCTGTCACTCTTTACTGCGGAGAGAGATGACTGGGAGTGTAGAGGCTGGGTGTCTCGGGAGCGGGAGCGGGAGCGGGGCTACGGCGGCCAAGACAGGGCAAGCGGTGTGTTCACGCCCCTAGCCCCCGCCCCGGAAACACTGGAGAGATGAAACCTTCAGGATCCGGTTTTTCAAGAATGAATCAGAGGCCTCCCCGCCCTCCTCCCCAAAGCAGTACTGTGCTGGGGGTTAGGAGGGAGGGACGACAGAGGAGCAGGTGTGGTGTCCCCTAAACCAGGCGTTATTTGAGCCCCAGGAACCCCTTCCCTACTTCCTGCTCCTCCCACTTAGCTTTTCTGTGACTGCGGGTTGCTAAGTTTTAGGCCCTTCTTGGGATGAGAGCGCTGGACTCCGGAAATCCATCCAACCCACTTCCCTTCAGCTCCTGCAAACAGCGGGGAGGTGCTCAAAGCTCTCTAGCAGTCATGTTGGTGAGGCTTGGGCCACAGTCAGGGCTATAAGACATTCATTCTACAGTTCAGCCCTTGTGGAACCCGAGGCCTCACGTGCCAGGCAGGTGCTCTACCTCTGAGCTACACCCCCATCACCTACAAATACTAAGCAGCCCTGTGCCAGGCACCATATTTTGCTTGGAGGGGACTGTCCTCCAAATGCAGGACAGAATTCTCATTCTGGTGGGGAACAGGCAGCAAGTTAACATGGGCAGCCATTGCAGATCCTGAGCATCACTGGGCAGGGGGAGATCACACACACCCCAGACAGAGCAAAGTATAGACTAGCTGGGACTAGATGAAGCTAGAGATGGATTCTATAGAAGTTTGGGGTGCCTGGTACACAGGACACATTTTTTTATTTTTCGAGTTTTCTCCTATCCGGTGAGATCCCTTTGTAAGGACGGAGGTAGATGAGTGATGCCACCTGGTTTGCATTTTAAAATAGACACAGGCTCAGGGGACAGCTCAGAGAGTGCATGCTAGGAGTTCGGTTCCCAGCACCCACATGGTCGTTTGCAAATGTCTCTAACTGCGGTTCTTTCTGACCTCTTCAGGCACCAGGCACCCAAGTGGTGCACAGGTGGACATGCAGCAAAGCCCTCATACACACAAAATAAAAATAAAATAAAATAACTTAAAAAATAGAGACACAGGGTTGGGGATTTAGCTCAGTGGTAGAGCGCTTGCCTAGCAAGCGCAAGGCTCTGGGTTCGGTCCTCAGCTCCGGGGGGACGACGGACACAAAGATAAATGGCAGCTGGGACGTTGGGAGATGAGCTCTGTTAGGGCAGCATACAGTTAAGTTCGTAGGCCTGAGTCCTGTGGAGCAACTCTCATGGGCTGGGGCAAGCCAGATGCCTGGAGAAGTCAGGAATAGGCCTTGCCAGGCAGAGGAACTGGGTTGCTCCTGGGCCAGGGAAGGAAGGATGGAACAGTAATACAGACTGGAGCAGTCTGGAGGTGTGGGTCAGTTTAGCCCTGCTGAGAATCCAGCAGGGAGGGGTGAGGTCAGCAGTGGAGTGCCTTCCTAGCAGATGAAAGCCTCTGGCTTCTGTCTCTTTGACTGCAAATAACACTTCCTGACGTGGTGCACTAAAGTACTGAGCAGGTCACATGTAGCACAGTCTCTGGAGTCCCGTAAGTACCCCGAGAGACATGAACTCTGCCAGATTCTCAGATGAGGAAACTGGGGCCTCATAAAGCTAAGCACTTGGCTCTGTCTGTGTCACTGGTGAGTGTCAAGGATGGAACTTGACCAGGCCGCCATACTGTCTCGGTCTGCGGCACCGATTTACTAGTCACTCCAGAGCCGTAAACATGTACAGAGACAGAGAGGAGGCTGGGGTGTGGGGTTCCAGGACAGGGAGGAAAGGCAGTGCATCAAGACTTACACACCCCTAATAGTGTTCTGAGAGCTGTCCCAGGCACACACATGCACTTACACACCCCCAATAGTGTTCTGAGAGCTGTCCCAGGCCCATACATGCACTTACACACCCCCAATAGTGTTCTGAGAGCTGTCCCAGGCCCACACATGCACTTACACACCCCCTAATAGTGTTCTGAGAACTGTCCCAGGCACACACATGCATTTACACACCCCCAATAGTATTCTGAGAGCTGTCCCAGGCCCACACATGCACTTACACACCCCCAATAGTGTTCTGAGAACTGTCCCAGGCCCACACATGCATTTACACACCCCTAATAGTGTTCTGAGAGCTGTCCCAGGCCCACACATGCACTTACACACCCCCAATAGTGTTCTGAGAGCTGTCCCAGGCCCATACATGCACTTACACACCCCCAATAGTGTTCTGAGAGCTGTCCCAGGCACACACATGCACTTACACACCCCAATAGTGTTCTGAGAGCTGTCCCAGGCACACACATGCATTTACACACCCCCAATAGTGTTCTGAGAGCTGTCCCAGGCACACACATGCACTTACACACCCCCAATATTCTGGGAACTGTCCCAGGCACATATATGGTTTCCTTTGAGCTCAGAGTGGTTAAGACACTTGGCCTAAACTGGGCAGTGATGGTGCACGCCTTTAATCCGAGCATTCAGGAGTCATAGACAGGCACATCTTGGAGTTTAAGGCCAGCCTGGTCTACAGAGCAAGTTCTGGGACAGCCAGGGCTACACAGAGAAAACTTGCCTCAAAGGAAAAACAAAACAAGGAATGATGATCAAAAGCGTGTACCAGGGAGGTTCCGCCACTGCTGCTGCTCTCTACTATTGAATGTGGTGACATAATTTTAGAGGACAGTTCTATGTAATTCATTTCAGTTTACCTTTGTCACATAGCCCGTGAGTGACTGTAGTATGCTAGGATACAGAACTTGGACAGAGAGATGAAGGAACCAGTAAAAGACTAGTGCCCAGAATATATAAAGAGTTCTCACAAATCAATAATAAAAAGGTCATCCAAGTAAAGCCAGCCAGCCAGGTGTGGAGCAGGCCTGTTATCCCAGGACATGAGAGGTGGAGGCAGGAAGATCTTCAGTTTGAGGCTATTCTGTATTGCACGAGGAGACCCTCCTCAGAAAAGCAAAGCAAAAGAAAACCATGCAAGGGCCATGCAGACTGTGGAGATGGCTCACTCGGTAAAGGGCTTGCTGTGCCAGCTGAATTTGACAGTCAGAACCCACATGAAAATGCTGGGCATGGTGACTTGCCTTGTTACCCTAGCACTGGGGACATAAACAGGAAGACCTATGGGGCTCATTGGCTGGCCAACCTAATTGGAGAGCTCAGGCCCAGGAGACACCCTGATTCAAAAAGACAAAGTGGTGCTGGGGACATGGGCTATAACTTAGTGGTAGAGCCTTTGCCAAGCATGTCTGAGGCCCTGAGTTCAATTCCCAGTACAAAAGGAGTGGTGCACTGGAGAGATGGCTGAGCAGGTGGCCACCAAGCCGTGACCTGAGTCTGATCCCCAGACTCACATGGTAGGAGCAAAGGACTGACTCCCACAACCTCTGCACACCGGCAACACGCATGCACACAATAAATAGATGTGACTTTTTTTCTCTTTGAGATGGGGTCTCATTATGTAGCTCTGGTTGTCCTAGAACTTATTATGTTGGCCAGCCTAGCCTCAAAGTAAATTTTTTTATTTTATGTGTTTGAATATTTGCTTGCATGCATGTCTGCGCACACAGGGCAGAAGAGGGTGTCAGATCCTCCTTGGAGCTGGAGTCAGCTGTTAGCTTCATGTGGGTTCTGGCGGTTTCTGGCATTCGATTGTTTTTTGTTTTTTGAGACAAGGTTTCTCTGTGTAGCTTTGCGCCTGGAACTCACTCTGTAGCCCAGGCTGGCCTTGAACTCACAGAGATCCGCCTGCCTCTGCCTCCTAAGTGCTGGGATTAAAGGAGTGCGCCACCACCGCCTGGCAGGTTCTAGCCCAGAACCCAGGTTTTTTGAAAGAGTAGGCAGTGCTGTAACCACTGGGCCACCTCTCCAGCCCCAGTAATTTTTTTTTTTTTTTTTTTTTTTTTTTTTTTTTTTTTTGGTTTTTCGAGACAGGGTTTCTCTGTGTAGCTTTGCGCCCTTCCTGGAACTCGCTTTGGAGACCAGACTGGCCTCGAACTCACAGAGATCCGCCTGGCTCTGCCTCCCGAGTGCTGGGATGAAAGGCGTGCGCCACCACCGCCTGGCTGTTTTTTTTTTTTAAGTCAAGTGATGACACTTGAGGGCCAGTACCCAAGGTTGACCTCTAGCCTCCACATGTGCCCCACATCTGTGGGCATGAACGAGCATGTGCCCACGGGGCACGGTAAGGGCTGGGGACATGGCTGTGCTTGCTGTTCTTCTGGAGGACCTGAGTTTGGTTCTCAGCACCTACGGGTGGCTTGTAACTCCATACTGAAGGGATCGGTGCCTCCGTCCTCTGCAGGCTCCTAGGCTCACAGACCCACACGCAGACTCCTACCTATACACGTAATACAAAATACAGTCTTTTGGAAGGTGGCATGGCTCAGTGGCTAAGGCGCTCGCCCCCAAACCTGAAGAGCTGGCTTTGCCCTCCAGGACCCACACAGTGGAGGCAAAGAAGTGACTCAGGCATGTTCTTGGGCTGACACACACACTGAGTGTGCATCCATACAAACAGTAAATGTAAATGACATAGGTTAACAACAGGCAGCCCACTGAAAAGCCCATCAGGAGCGTCACAAATGTGTAAAAGGGGCTTGGCACCATTGACTCGCCAAGTGCAAAAGCAGGCCTACAGCAAGAAGTCAGGTGATGTCTCCCTGCCCAGCACTGCCCGGAACAGGTGAGGGCCATGGGGTGGGGCTTGTGCTGTCCTGGGAGATGGCCAGTCCTGCCTTCCTCCCTCAGCCACACAGGATACTCACTCATCAACATGGCTTATCTGTGGCTGCTCAGTGCCACCACTAGTGACACACAGATCTCTCCCCTCAGCAGACAGTGGACAAAGAAATAAGATACCCATCCCAGCTGAAGGAGGTAAGGAGGGTATAGAGAGAGGAGCAGTGTGAAGGCCCTGCGGCAGCTCTGGCCTAACTGTGACCCTATGGAGGAGGCCCCAGTGGCTGATGGGAAGGAGCTATAAAGTCGGGTGTGGGGCAAAAAAGTTAGGGGTGACGGTGGGATTCCTGGGAGAGCAGAGCAGAGAATGAAGTGACATGAGGGTCATTGTAGCTGCTGTCTTGACAGGAAACTGCAGGGTAAAGGGTGCCTGAAAAGCAGAGGCAGCTGTAGTGTAGGTGAGTGGGGTGGGAATGGAGCATGTGGGTCAGAAGAGGAGTGCACGGTGGGTTGAGCAGGAAACCCTCTCAGGAAGATGTGGTCCAGCCAACTGAGAGTTGGCTCCTCAGGAGGGAGAATCTGCAGAGCACGAGAAGTCCCTAGGGCATGGGAAACTGAAGAAGATGGTCAGGAGTTGAAGGCAAGCCTGTGCCACTTGGTGTGACCCTGCCTCAGGATGATGAGATGAGCTGAGCCAGGTGTGCTGATGTCCAGCCGCGTTTCCAGCACTCAGGAGGATCCCAAGTCTAAGGAGGCCAGCCTGGGCTACATGATCCCCGGTGAGGTGGGTGAGATGTCACTGTGGCTAATTGTCAAGGCCAAGGAGCTTCCTCAAGGGATTACAAATCATACACCCTTGAGTGAGCGTGTGGCTTTTTTTGCTTTGAACATGTGACTTGAAAATGAAGTCGGGCTGGGTGTGGTTCAGTGATTGTTTACCTGTGTGCAGAGGCCTGGTTCCATCCCAGCACTACCAGAAGGAAGGCTCTGCCGCCTCCTCCCTCCCCGACTCCCTCCAGCCACACTTAAAGATGTGCTGAGTGTGAACTACTTTACCTCAGGGCCTTTGTACTGTTCCCATCTACCTAGAACATTCTTATCACAGATGTTTGTGTGTGGGAGGTCAGGAAGGGGGTGTTCTAAAGATGGGACCCAGGGCTTCTCACATGCCAAGCTTCTTTCACTGCCGCTGGGCCACGCTCCCTGCTCCAGCACTACACAGTTCTCAGTGGACGGTCAGCTCCAGCTGGCTTATTGTACCTCTTGTAAGTAATCAGAAAGATAGCTTTCTTCCAGAGGCACAGGGCACAGCAGGGAACAGCCCAGCAGGCAGCTGTGGGTAGGGGTTCACCCCATTGGCCACCTTAATACCCACTGTGTCTGCAGCATAGTAAACAACCTGCAACTGGGTGTGGTGTTCCTAGTCAAGGGTCTGGTTTCTTAAAATAGAACAGGCCTGAGCATGGTAACAGACGCTGGTAGGCCAAGCTGCTGGTAGGCTGAGGCAGGAGCATTACTGGACCAGAACTCAAGACTAAGCTGGACAATAAAGCAAGACCCTGACTCAAAATAAAATAAAGCTGGGTAGTGGTGGTACACATCTTTGATCCCAGCACTGAGAAGGGCAGAGGCAGGTGGATCTCTGAGTTTGAGGCCAGCCTGGTCTATGAAGTGAGTTCCAGGACAGCCAGAACTGTTACACAGAACCCTGTCTTGAAAAAACAAAAGAAAAAAGAAAAGCAAAACAATCAAATCAATAAGTAAAAATGAATAAAACAAGTGCATGAATATAGTACTACCCCAAATAGTTTGTTTGCAAGAGGGAGGGAGGAAGAAGAAAAGGGGAGGGGCTGGAGAGAGAGATAGCTGATGCTCAAGTGTGAAGACCGGAGTTCTGATCCCGGGACCAGTATTGCTGCGGCTTGATGGCTGCCAGACTAGCCAAAGAAAAAGAAAAAGGAATAGGTGGAAAGTGATAGAGAATAAATACCATGTGGTGTCCTTTGACCTGAGCACAGGGACACACACTAAAAAATAAACATGGTGGCCCACGCTTGTTTTGGCAGGGGTGGGGTAGAGTGAGACAGGATTTCTCTATACAGCTGTGGTTGGAACTCTAGATCAGGCTGGCCTTGAAGTCACATAGATCCACTTGCCTCTGCCTTCTGAGTACTCAGCTTCACACGTGTGTGCATGTACAATATGTTCTTAAAAGGATGAAGACAGGTACAGGGCCACTTTTATGCTCAGCAGGTGAAGGTGTTGGCTACTAAATCTGACCTGACCCGACCCGACCCGACCCAACACTCAGGCACGTGTGTGCCCTGGCACCTTTGTGGAGGTCAGAGGACAACCTCGGCCCTCAATTTTCACCTTGTTGGAGGCAGAGTCCACATACCAGACTAGCTGGCCCATAAACTTCTCAACCCTCTGTCTCCACCTCTCACTGTAAGAACGCTGGGATTATCACATTATCTGGTGCTACGTGGGTTCTGGGGATTTGAACTTAGGTCTTCATACTTACACTGAGCTTTACCCACTAAACTCCCTGGTTCTTGCTTTTCAGACAGTAGTCACCCTGTACTCCAGCCTGGCCTCAAGCTCATGACAGTCCTACCTCAGTCTGAATCCATGCTGCACCCCTGTGCCTGGCTGGTACTTATGCTCTTGCTGCTCATACATTGCACCTTGTCAGAACCCATACATGCTGTCACTGTTCTGCTGCTGTGAGGTGACACCACGACCAAGGCAACTTACCAGAGCAAGCACTATTTAAGGGCTTGCTTACAGTTTCAGAGGGCAAGTCCATGGGCATCGTGGCAGAGAGCATGGCGGCAGGCAGGCATGGTGCCGGAGCATATTCTGTTCAGAGGCAGAGAGAAAGAGACTGGGCCTGGCACAGGTGTTTGACACCTCAAAGCCTACCCTCTAAACACATTGCTCCACAAGGTCACACCTAATCCTTCTCAAAACAGTTCTGTCAGCCAGAGACCAAACATTCAAACATATGAGCTTATGGGAGCATTCTCATTCAGACCACCACACTTACTGTCACTAAAGACCCACCCAGCCTCGTGACGTTACCACCATGTCAGCTGTTGCTGGTCATGCTGTCTAGGCTCAGGAGACTTTTGCTCCAGTAGTTAGGTTTCTGTGGGGGATGTGTCACATGTTACTTCCTCTTAGCACTCATTGGTAGAGCTAGTCATCAGCCTGCCCTGTCCCAGGGTTGGCTTCCTCTGCGGTGTGCTTTATTATTGATCTGTTGTTTCTTTCGTGTGCGTACGCATGTGTGGGCACACATGGGACAGTTACACCTGAAGGTTGGGTGACAGCCTGCATGTCCTACCATGTGGGTCCAGGGCACCAAACTCCGCGGCCCGGTGGTAACTGCTTTGGCCCACCAAGCCATCTTGCCAGTCTCCCTCCCACCTTGGTGTTTGAGACAGCCTCTCACCTGGGACTCACCAAGTAGGTTAGGCTGGTTTGAGCACTGAGGATCCTCTCTCCAGCTCTGGGATTGCAAGTGCATGTTACCATACCTGAGTTTTATGTGAATTCTGGGGATCGAACTCCATTGCTTAGAAGCACTTTGCTGACTGAGTCGTCTCCCCAGCCAAAGACTAAGAAGTTTTTTGCACATAGCATTAATGATCGCGGCTGATAGAAAAATGAAAGGAAGCGGAGAGCAGGAGGTTGTGAGTTCTAGGCCAGCCTGGACTATAGAGTGAGACCCTGTCTCAGAGAAATGAAAAACCAAGGGAGGTACCAGCACTGCGTCCTCCCTTCACTTATCTGTTTAAGTGGGTGTGGCTAGAGCAGGAGGCGTTAAGGAGCTCTCCTCCAATGAGGATTGAATGAGGTCACACACAGCAGGTGGTGTGGGGCTGTAATAGGTGTCAGCTGTTGTGATTACTGCTGTGGGGGTGAAGCTTCAGTCTGGTGCTGGGATTAGACCTGGGGCTTTATTAGCCTGTGATCCTCCACTGAACTGCACCCCAGCATCTGGGTTCTATGTAGAGTCAGCCCTTTACCTTCCCATTTGTTGTGGATGCCCAGCTCGTGTCCACTGCAGATGGAGCACACCCGGGTCAGGCAGACGTGCTGGCATATGCCTGTAATCCCAGCCACTCTGGAGGCTGGGCAGGAAGATTGTAGGTTCAAGGATCACCTGAGCAACTAAGAGATAAATGTCTCAAAATAAAAAGCAGCAGTCTAGGCATGTAGCGTGGGTACACAGGCACATGGCCAAAATCTAACCCCAGTATGGAGGGAGGAAGGAGAATTGGTGGATTCGGGGAGAGCCTTGCACCTGTGCTGAACATGGACAGAGTTTTTTGTTATTACCCCTTAAATAATACAATGGATCAAGAGTTTCCATAGATTTGAGTCTGTAGAGCTGATTCTGGTGCATGGGAGGGGCTGCAGCTCTGTGGCCCAGCACTAGCTAAGTGTGGGGAAAAGAAAGTACACCCTCAGCAGAGTGCAAACACAACGTAGGTGTGACAGGATTCTGGAGGTGCCCGGAACCCTGTGCCTGGGAGCCCAGAGTCATGTCATCAGGGCTGGTTTAAAGCTCAGTGGGGAAGCATCAACCTGCACCAGGCCCCTGGGTTAAGGATGCCTGCTCTGCAAAACAGGACAATATTGGTTGGTGTTGGTATCCTGTGGTGGCACCCAAGGCTGTTGTTACTCAGAGCATGAAGCCCAATTCTCTTTCTGCAGGTCTCCTGGCCGAGTCCCCACTTCCGGCTGCTCATGCCACTGGGACTGGGGCGGCGGAAAAAGGCACCACCTCTGGTGGAAAATGAAGAGGCGGAGCCAGGCCGGAGCGGACTGGGAGTGGGGGAACCCGGGCCCCTGGGTGGAAGTGGAGCAGGGGAATCCCAGATGGGCTTGCCCCCACCTCCTGCTGCCCTCCGCCCTCGCCTCGTATTCCACACCCAGCTGGCCCACGGTAGCCCCACGGGCCGCATCGAGGGCTTCACCAATGTCAAGGAGCTGTATGGCAAGATCGCTGAGGCCTTCCGACTACCAGCTGCTGAGGTACAAGTGGGGCCAGGGTCCCCTGAGAGCCAGCCACAGGCCTGGGCAGCTGCTGAGGTACCAGTGGGGCCAGGGTCCCCTGAGAGCCAGCCACAGGCCTGAACTTGCATTCTTGTGAGCTGGGGCTCAGGTGCTCATGTTCCCCGCTGGCAGGCAGCCCCTGAATCTAGGAGGTATGGCTGCAGCAGGATACTGAGTTCCTATCTGGCCTTGAGAGACTTGTACACCAGTAGGTATGTGGGAATGGGTTTCCCATCAGGCCTTGAGAGGCTCGTAACCTAGTAGGTTGCGGGGGGGGGGGGGGGGGGGGGGGGGGTGTGCAGGTGCTGATTTCCCATCATGTCTGGAGTAGCCTGGTAGGTTGTGGGGTGGTTGGTGGCCACATGTGGTAGCTGGATTTCTATGAGGCATTAGGAGGCCTGTGCCCTAGAGCACTATGGGAGTTGGAGGTCAGGAGCAGCTTATATTTCTCCATGATGCACTGGAGGCATGACCCCAAGATAGAAGCAGAGAAGCCACAGTGAGGGCAACAGTGGGCTGCGCATCAAGTGGAGACAGGTGGAAGGCTAGGTGGGAATCTAGACTCCTTCATTCATTCCTCAGCATTTATTGAGTACTCACTGTGTACCAAACTAGCACTGAGTTCTTACCGGGACAGAGCTCCTACTCGTAACATTTGATGTACTAGTGGACCTTGCCCCGGCTCTGGGTATCACCAAGCCCTGGGATAGGTATCTTTTCCGACCTCCCCTCCTCTCCCAAGTGTTAGGAAAGGGGAACCCCGGGAGGAGGGGGATGAGCATCTCGCCCCACCTCTGCAGGTGATGTTCTGCACCCTCAACACCCATAAAGTGGATATGGACAAGCTCCTAGGGGGCCAGATCGGACTGGAGGACTTCATCTTTGCCCACGTCAAGGGGCAGCGCAAAGAGGTGGAAGTGTTCAAGTCTGAGGAGGCGCTGGGGCTCACCATCACCGACAACGGGGCCGGTTATGCCTTCATTAAGGTGCCCGGGTGGGTGGCACACCCTTAGTCAGTGGTCAGGGTCTGTCATGGGACCTAAGGTGGAGCTTCCAGGGCTGATGCCTGCCCCTCCACAGCGCATCAAGGAAGGCAGTGTGATAGACCACATCCAGCTCATCAGCGTGGGTGACATGATTGAAGCCATCAACGGGCAGAGCCTGCTGGGCTGTCGGCACTATGAAGTTGCCAGGCTCCTCAAGGAACTGCCCCGAGGCCGCACCTTCACCCTCAAACTCACAGAGCCTCGGAAAGCCTTTGGTGAGCAATTCTTGGACCACCCACTGGGATGACCTTGAACTCTTCAAAATGTGGATTGCAGTACTGGGAAACACCAGCAGGTGGCACCCAAGCCTGCACTACAAAGTGGAGACAGCCCCACCCTACCCTAGACTTGGGTGCTGGCTGGCAGCCTAGCCTGAAGGAAGTTGCCCCCACACCTAACTTCCAGGAGCTATTAACCCAGCCAAGTGCCCCCAACCCTGGCCAGCCCCCTCAGCCTGGAGAAGTGAGGCTTGGCTGCCCTGTACAACTCCCATGTCCTGCCCCCGTTTCTACCTGGCTTCACTAACTCTGAGGAATTGGCCCGAGGCGCCCCTGGTGTGGGTAGATAGGACTGATCTGGGACCCAGCAGTTATACCCACCCCTTCCCAGCTCTCACCCCTTCAAGTAGAAGTAGAAACTGCCCTTGATTCTCTTCTCTTGCTTCTTTTATGCTTGACCCCCACTGCCCTCTCCATTCATGCCAAGTCCTGTCCTGGAATCTGGCAGAACTTGGAGATGGTGTGTAAGCCTAGCTGCCCTGTACTGTACTGACTGTGCTGAAATTCCGATAGATATGATCAGCCAGCGTTCAGCGGGTGGCCACCCTGGCTCGGGCCCACAACTGGGCACTGGCCGAGGGACCCTCAGGCTGCGATCCCGGGGCCCTGCCACAGTGGAGGATCTGGTAAGTGAACCACCTTTGGCCAGTGACAGTGTTCTCATTACCTGAAGGTCTCTGGACTCCTGCTTGAGTCCTACCTCCTCCCAGCTTTTGACCTTCCTTGGGCAAGTGAGACTTGGTTTTCCTATCTGTAAAACAGAAGTCTTAGTACCCCTTATCAGAGTGGACATTAGGAACACAGACAAAAACCACAGCCAGGCATGGAATCTCAGGCAACTTAAACCACAAGAGCTTGTCACCAAAAAGAAAATATATGAAAGCCAGCCCAGTGTGGGCATGCACCTGTAATCCTAGAGGCCTGGGAAGCTGAGATAGGAGGGTTTAGTGTTCAAAGCCAGTTTGAGCAACATAGAAAATGTCTCAAAATAAGAATAATAATATCTGAATGTTGGGACTGGAAGGATGGCTTAGCGGTTTAGAGCACATGTTGCTCTTGCAGAGGACCCAGGTTCAGTTCCAAGCACCCATAGTAGGTGGCTCACAACCACCCATTAACTCCAGCTCCAGGGCATCCAATGTCCTCTTCTGACCTCCATGGGCACACACATAGTACACATACATGCATGCAGGCAAAACACTCCTACACATAAAATTAATAAACGTAAACACATAGCTGGGGGTGCAGCTCATTGGTGGAGCTGTTACCTAGCATGCATGAGGCCCTGGGTCCTGTCCCCAGCACTGTAGACATTCACTGTGTATCACAGCAGTTCTGTTGACACTGCTGTACAGCTGTCTTGTCCCCTCCTCCACAGCCATCGGCCTTTGAGGAAAAGGCCATTGAGAAAGTGGATGACTTGCTAGAGAGCTACATGGGGATCAGAGACACAGAACTTGGTGAGTGGGGGCCCCGATGCCTGGGAGGTGGGAACAGACAGGCTTCCAGGGCTCACCCAGGCTGAGGTGAAGCGGCACCTTTCGTCGCTCATACTGTCTGTGTCTCCATCTTTCTCCTCTCTGACAGCTGCCACCATGGTGGAGCTGGGAAAAGACAAAAGGAACCCAGATGAACTGGCAGAGGCGCTGGATGAACGGCTCGGTGACTTTGCATTCCCAGACGAATTCGTCTTTGATGTCTGGGGAGCCATCGGGGATGCCAAGGTTGGCCGCTACTAAGACTGGAAATGACCTGGACCTTGAGATAACATGGGCGTGGCCTGGCTGGGGCCTCCAGAACGGGTGCCACAGCCACAACCTGAGCATCCAGCTTAGGCACATAACGCAGCAACCTGGGGATGGCACGGGGTAGAAGTGACCGGTAGCCCTGGCCCCACTCTATCACCACGGTGCCCAGCCTGGTTAGGGTCCCCGGCCAACCCCTGCCGGGTTCCCCACCTACCTCAATAGAGTAAGCGCATGGGGAGGGACCAGCACTGGGCAGCCACCTCTGTCCCCAACACTTTCCACCGTCAGCCGGCAAACTGCCCCTCTGTCTCCCTGGACCTCAGCTCTGTTTGGGGTCATGACCTCCCTACTTTACTTTTTTGCTTTGTTTTTTCAAGACAAAATCTCACTACGTAGCCCTGGCTGTCCTGGAACTCACTATGTAGATCAGGCTAGCCTCCAACTCACAGAGATCTATCTGCCTGCTTCTACATTGCCGTGCTGGGATTAAAGGTGTGCACTACCACGCCTAACTCTCCCCACTTTCTTGACACCAGAAATGCAGAAAGGGGGCACAGCCACCCAGTAAAGGCAATAAAGCCGTTCCCTTGGCATCTCCCACCTGAGAGGAGTCCTCTAAGTTGGGTTCTGTTACCTCCCATTGAGTGGACACTGCTATGAACCCTGGTCCTTCGGCATCTCCCTTAGCCAGTGCCAGAGGAGGGGTGAGCAAGGCGGTGGCCCCATACCCTCACTCTCTGGATGTAGAGACTCCTCTGGGAGCTGTTTGGCTTTGGGATAGGAGGGGTGGCCAGGGAAAGAATGCAGCAGCTGAAATCTATCTCCTGGATCCAAATTGAATTAGGAGTTGGCTGGCCCACTGCCCCCTCCCCCTGGCTCTGGGCCATCTAGCTTCCAGGCAGTGGTGGAGATTCTGGCTTACTTGAGGTTCAGACCTGGTTCCCCACTCACCAAGGCCTCACATGCCCCTCTCGTATGAGGAGGCAGCAAAGCCTGCTGCCCTATTGCGGTACCCTGGTTGAGGCTGGTTGTGCTTTGGGCACAGGCATCCATGGCACAATGCTTCACAGGGATATAAACCTGCCAAGCTTGTTTTGACAGTCCATTTCATCCTAGGATTTAGGGAGGTCAAGGAAAGGGTGGGGTGGGACCCTGGCCAGACCTGGAGAGAAGGGAGGCAGTTAGAGCAAGGGAAGCCAGGCCAGAGGTCCCTCTCCAGCGCCCAGGAGGAGTGTTTGGGGGTGAGCGCAGCAGAGACTGTCACTGCAGGAAGGCTGAGCAGGCCTGGTCCCTGACTCCAGGCAGGAGATGACTACTCTGGATACCAGACATTTATGTGCACAAGCCCTGTGGACAGCCACTGTCGGGATGACTTGCCATCCCTGATCACTGAGGTCGTTTTTCAGTACTTACGGTGGAACCCATGGCCTCACACATGCTAGGAATGCGCTCTATCACTGAATTATGCCTCAAGTCCTCCATTGGGGTCTTGCAAGTCTCTGATGGGAGCAGCTGGGAATGTGTGGCTTTGTTGAGTGAAACTATGAGTAGTGGATGGTTGGTAACCGCGTTGAAGCAGGGTTGTCACCATTGTGGGTAAGCACTGGGTCCTCTGAGTTTCAGGGAGCTGTGGGGTGTGGAGTGTGGTCATCTAGCTGTGTCCAGTGTGTGCATGGGTCTCAGGTGTATCCTTTTTTGGGGGTCGGGTAAACAACTAGGTCTTAGAGAGTGTCTAGAGACATGATTATGTGGCTAAGGTGGGACAAGGTCTGGGTGCCCATGGGCATTGGTTTGGGGGAGTATCTCCAGGAAGTGTGCTCCAGGACTGCAACAGACTTTCAGTGCCAAGTGAGATTTACACCCTATGTTAAGGTGTGAGTGAACATCAGTTTCAAGGGGTCTGTATTTGGGAACATTAAAGGAGTGGGTATTAACGCCAGCATTGGGGGGGGCTCCCTGGCGTTTACTTGCCATCATGACTGACTTGACAGTGACTGCATGCTCCCCTTCTCAAGACAAAGTGAGGCTGTAGCTGTGAGTGCAGGATGTGGCTCAGGTGCCCTAAGAATTGCTTACTCCACCTTAAGACAGGATGCAGATGCTAGCCTGGCTCCTCAGAGCCCGATCAGCCACCTCCCTTTCTCCTAGGATGACTCCCTGTTGCCCTGGTCTGGGCTGCTCCCCTCCACCCCCACTGTGACATCCACAAAGGCTTAAGGGCAGGCAGCATTACCAGGTCCCATCACACAGCCAGCTCCAAAATCCTCAAGCCCAATGGGGACAGCACCCCACCCCCATGAGAGTGCGTAGACCTCCCAGCCTGCCCCAGGCGATGCTCACATTTTCCAGTGTTTAGATTTTATCCACTTTATTAATGAGGCAGGCAAGAGGCCCGGGTGAGGGTGTGGGGGTTTGCTTCTGCCCTGATGAGAGGAGGGGGTCACAGACTCCAGACCAATTCAGAGAACCTCAGTCCCTGGCGGGAAGAAGCTGGGCCCAAGTGGCCCTGACCATTGCCAGCAGCAGAGGTTTTGCCCACTCAAGGCTCCCAGCCCTAGCGGGCAGACATGCATAGGGTGGAGCAGCCCCTGGAGGCCAGTGGGGTGCGGGTGGAGGCGGCACAGAGCCGAGGAGCCGCCCCAGGAAGAGGGAGCGGCCTGCCGGGAGCCAGGGAGCAGCTGGCGCGGGCAGCAGGATCCTAGTTCCGGGCCATGGGGACCCTGCATCCTGAGCAGCACTGGGTAAGAAGTTGGGACTTGAGGGTCCACAGGCAGGGAAAAGGAGAGCATTTTGAAAGATGGGCTATGGCCATCATGGGCTCACTGTGTTCATGGCTCTCAGCCCAAGGCTGTCGGTCTATGCCTTAGGTCTGCTTTAGCCCTCTCAACTAGAAAACGAAGAACGAGCCAGAGGCTGGTTCACATAGGAGTATGGGGTGGGCATCTGAATGAGGCAATGTCATACTGCTGAGATTGCCATGGAGACAGGTGTAATTCTGGCAACAGACATGGGACTCTGGGGAAAGAGGTAGGTCCTTGGAGTTCAAGAGCACCGAAGAGATCAGAGATGGGTCCATGGAAGCAGGGGTCTGAGGACAGACCATGGAGGCAAGAGGATGCACTACAGGGTACACAGCAACCTTGGGGCACAGAAATTAGTCTTTAAGTACGGAGATGGCTTGTTCGGGGAGAGATGAAACTGGAGATCAAGAGTGGTCTCTGGAGGCAGGGACATTGGAAAAGATGGGCTATAGTAATGAAGCTGTTGGGACATGGGACATCAATGGTAGGATTAAAAGGTGACCAACAACAGCTGGTCATGGTGGTGTGAACCTTCAATCCCAGGACACAGGAGGCATAGGTAGGGGGATCTCTTTAAGTTTAACGCCAGCATAGTCTACACAGCCAGTTCCGGGGCCAGCCAAGGAGACTTACAAAAAAGGAAGGGGGGTGGCAGACATGGTGAAGGTTGGAGTTGGGATCAAAAGTGGGTCAGGATCTATTCCATGGGGCCATGGACCAGGAATCTGATGTGCTAGGAGGTGGGGGGTGGGGTGGAGATGAGGACAGACACTGAGGACCTCTGCCACGTCTGTCAAGTCCCCAAAGCAGTAGATAGAGAAGACAATGCCGGGGCAGAGTGAGGTCAGGCACAAGGGATGGAGCAGTGAAAGGTGAAGTGGGATCTGAAATGGAGCAGCCAGGGTCCTGTGGAGGTGCCCTGGGCACAGAGGCCACATTGTTACATGGATCCTGGTGATGGGTGGTGGGACACTAGCCTCACTGCACCCTCCTCTTATCTACTTAGCCCTCTTGGCCACTGATATGAGCCCCTGCGGGCTTAACGCGAGCCTAGTGGACGAGGAGGCAACAACGTGTGCAACACCCAGGGTCCCCAACACATCTGCGGTGCTACCAGTAGGCGATTCCGGCACATCACCAGCCCTGCCTATCTTCTCCATGACCCTGGGTGCAGTGTCCAACGTGCTGGCGCTGGCGCTGCTGGCACAAGCTGCAGGTCGTCAGCGGCGGCGCCACTCAGCTGCCACCTTTTTGTTGTTCGTTGCCAGCCTGCTGGCCATCGACCTGGCAGGCCATGTGATCCCGGGCGCGCTGGTGCTTCGCCTGTATGCTGCGGGACGTTCACCTGCTGGCGGGGCCTGTCATTTCTTGGGAGGCTGCATGGTCTTCTTCGGCCTGTGCCCACTTTTGCTTGGCTGCGGCATGGCCGTGGAGCGCTGCGTGGGTGTCACGCAGCCGCTGCTCCACGCGGCGCGCGTGTCGGTGGCCCACGCACGCCTGGCACTGGCCACGCTGGCCGCCCTGGCTTTGGCAGTGGCGCTGCTGCCGCTAGCACATGTGGGTCGCTACGAGCTACAGTACCCTGGCACCTGGTGTTTCATTAGCCTTGGGCCTCCTGGAGGTTGGCGCCAGGCATTGCTTGCCGGCCTCTTCGCCGGCCTTGGCCTGGCCGCGCTCCTTGCGGCACTCGTGTGCAATACACTCAGCGGCCTGGCGCTCCTGCGAGCCCGCTGGAGGCGTCGCCGCTCTCGACGTCTCCGTGAGACCACAGGTCCCGATGATCGCCGGCGCTGGGGGTCCCGTGGACCCCGCTTGGCTTCCGCCTCGTCTGCCTCTTCCATCGCTTCAGCCTCCGCCACCCTCCGCAGCTCTCGGGGCGGCAGCTCGGCGCGCAGGGTTCGCGCACACGACGTGGAGATGGTGGGCCAGCTCGTGGGCATCATGGTGGTGTCGTGCATCTGCTGGAGCCCTCTGCTGGTGAGGGGCGCAACCGCTCCTCAAGCCACACTCCTTCCTGCCCCCTCCTGGGCTCCGCCCCCTTAAGACCCTGCCAGCACAAAAAGCCAACCGTTTGTCTTATCCCTCTGCTATCCCTGGCTCTACCTTCGCCCTCTTTGTATCTCTGTAACTTACTCCCACCCACTCAAGCCTGTCCAGTTCGTCCTTCCACTTCATTCATTCATTCCTAGCCTTCTTCCTCCCCGGCTTTTTGACCTTTCGTCTGTCCTGTGTGCTGGTATAACGGGTCTTCTCTAGCCAGACTCCGCACTCACTGATGATCTTTGCTTAGTCACTCTCCTTCCCACACAGTATTTGCCCTGCATAGCCCACCCCGGTATCCTAACCTTACACCCCACCCCTTCTCTCACATGGGCTCCACTGCTCACACCTGCTTTTCTCGCAGGTGTTGGTGGTGTTGGCCGTCGGGGGCTGGAATTCTAGCTCCCTGCAGCGGCCGCTCTTTCTGGCTGTGCGCCTCGCGTCGTGGAACCAGATCCTGGACCCATGGGTGTACATCCTGCTGCGCCAGGCCGTGCTGCGCCAACTGCTTCGCCTCCTACCCCTGAGGGCCGGTGCTAAGGATGGCCCAACCGAGCTGGGCCTAACCAAGAGTGCCTGGGAAGCCAGTTCATTGCGTAGCTCCCGGCACAGTGGCTTCAGCCACCTCTGAACGTGCCCAGAAGCTAAGCCAAACCACTGCACAGGGTTCAAGGGTATAGAGAGCCTCAAACACAGCGTGCCATGGGCGATGCGTCCTGTGGGGCGGCAGCACACACTGTGACAGCACATTGGTGCAAGCGGCTCCACCCAGACGAGTACAATTCTAACGTTGGCCACGCGATGGCGCAGACACACGGGACGTTCCAAATATCACAGGTGGGATGGGTCCCCAGGTCAGCAGCTCCAATAGCATGAGCACAATGCTGAGTCTTAGTTCTGAGATTGGAGCTGCCCGTAAAGGCAGTAAGGTTTTGGATTCACTCCCCGTCTCTGCTGCCGCCACAATAGACTCTTGCAACCATTCTGCTCATTTTGGTCCCTAACTATCCTAACAGTCTCAACACCCTGTACCCACTGCAGCCTGAAAACCCCAACGCTCTCCAACACAGCCCTGAGCCCTGTCCTCGCTTCCCACTAACGCATGTTCCCAGCTTGACCTTTCAAATGAGCCCCATCACAGTTCTGTCCCTGAGTCTGCCTGCCTCCGTCACCTGCTCCAAGCACACCCTACCCCAGATTGCACACAGAGGCTGAAAATGCATGTATGGGGTAAACCCCAAAGGCCTTTTTAAAAACCAAGAACTCTTGGGCAAGGCAGGGGCTTGGGGCTAGTAGCCTTCTGCCACAAAGTCGAAATCCCGGAAGGCCGCCTGCTCGGCAGCTGTGAGGGGCCGGGCATCCCGGGGTGGGCTCAGCGTGGGCGACTCCCCAGTGAACTCCTCATCGAAGTTGCTGACATCTGTGCGCCCCGAAAGTGTAGGCACGAAGGGTGGGGGCAGGCGACGAGCCAGCAGGACGTCCCAGCCCAGAGTCTGTGGAGAGGGGGACAGAGTCATGATGGAGGCTGAGGGGAGTCTGGAGACCAGCAAGAAATAGACAAGGTGCAGAGGGACTGAAGCTCAGATCAGTCAAGGGAGTCTGGAGTAGCTCAGGATAGCCCTGGAATGCCATGGGCCTGGAGAAGCAGAGGGAGTGAGGAGTGGGGGTAATGAGGGGTACAGACAAAAGGAGCTAACATTTGAGAGGAATCATGGCGGATGGGGGGTGAGGTGGGGGGGGGCGGCGTGACAAAACTCTTGAGATGGAGCAACTAGATTTGGGGTGGGAATGAACTGGGAGAAACATCCAGGTCCTTGGGGTGACTGACAGGGTGGGGAGGGAGTCTGCTCACCCTGAAAAAAGGCTGTTTTTTCACATCTTCTGCGTCTCGCTCAGTGGATCCCAACCTCCTCTCTGGGTTCCTCCGCAGCAGCTGTGGGACAACGCACACGTCCATGTGTATCCGATTCCTGTCCCTCAAGACCCTTCCCTGCCCACCTTGTACTCCGTGGTGGGGAGGTAGGGGGTGTGCTTACCCTTCTCATGATGCCAATGGCCTCTGCCGACAGGAAGCGGGGATAACGAACCTCGTCATTGACAATGCTGTCAAAGACCTCCTCCTCGTCGTCCCCCGGAAACGGAGACTGGAGGGCAGAGAGCCAGGTTGAATAAGATCCCACTTTTAGCCAATCCAGCTCACCCGGCACTAACAAAGGGCCCTAACCCTGGGGGTGCATGCACCCTTGCACCAGAGCTGGCTTACAGAGGGTAAGTGTCCCATTTCAGTTACAGAAACTGAGATCGCAGAGGCAAAGCTGACGCGCAGTAGGAGCAGATTCCCGTCCCAGGCCGGGACACATGCATGCTTTCTACAGAAACAAAGGGCAGCCTGGGCCTCACCTCGCCAACCAGCATCTCATAGAGCAACACGCCCAGTCCCCACCAGTCCACTGCTCTAGTGTAGGATGTGTCTGTCAGAACCTCCGGCGCCAGGAACTCTGGGGTTCCACAGAATGTGCTGGTCCGGTCTCCATAGCCCATCCCTGGGTGGAGTGGAGTGCAAAGCCATGTGAGCCACTGGTGGTTCGGGGGAGTAGAGCATGAGGCAGCCCTACCCCCGAATCAGTATGGGAGTGACCCGGGGTGGGGGAGGCGACCACAGTTGGGAAACTACCCTGAAGCTGTTAGGGTGAGAAGGTGCCTGCAGACAAAGCCCATAGAGAAGAAAATGTCACCTGACCACCTACGTACAGCCTCACCAGAAGGTAGCCCACCCCTATTCCTCTTATCCCAGGATTGCAGCCCCTCACCCTCCTTGCAGAGGCCAAAGTCTGCGATCTTGACGTAGCCCTCAGTATCCAGGAGCAAATTGTCCAACTTCAGGTCCCTGGGGAATGGGCGTGTCAGGGGATGTAAAGAGGGATGATTGGCAGTGGGGATTGGGGCTCTACACCGAGCTTAGCATGTCCAGTCTCTGGGCAGAACATGCTCTCATGTACACACCTGTAGACAATCTTGTGTTCATGGAGGAACTGCAGCCCCAGCACCACACAGGCCGAATAGAAGCTGCAGAGACGTACAACATCACACAAGCCTGGCTCCACAGGAGCCAGGATCCCTAACCCCTGGGGTCCCAAAGCTGTGTGGGAGTCAGGCCTCAGGATGGAGGGGCGGGAGGTAGGGTGGAGGGGCGGAGGCAGGGTGGAGGGGAGGGCGGGGCCTCCAAGGACGGGTAGGAGAGAGGCACCGTGCAGGAGGAAGGACTCACACAGCCCGAGGCTCTGAGAACACATCACTGTGGATGTGCAGCATCAGGTCTCCGCCCGCTGAGTACTCCATCACAAAGCACACGTGCTCTGGGGTCTGGAAACAGCCGAAAAGGTTCACCAGGAAGGGATGTCCTGCCCTGGTCACGGCCGCCAAAATCCGCTTCTCACACATCAAGCTGGGCAGGAGGCAGAAGTCAGAGGGCCCAGCTGCTCCCTGACCTATACCCATGCCCTCTGGGGCTCGCTCAGCAGATCTCTGTGGAAGGCCTGCATTGCTGCACAACTTTGGGCAACTGGATTACTCTCTCTCAGTTTGGACAGCCTGGGTTGCTACACATCCAGCATCTACGCATTCTTGGGAAGCAGGTGAAGGCACAGGCTCAGGCTGACCAGAGCAGTCCAATCCATGGTGGGGCCTGGGTTAGGGACCAGCACCAGTGAGGACTGAACCGGATCTGATCTTTGGTGTGCAAAGGCTTCTCTGTCTCTGTGAGGGAACTGCAAGCTCAGCCCACAAAGGAGCACACAACCAGAAACATCCCCAAGCACCTGGGCACAGCAATGCCATAAGGCAGACACGACGGCTTCTCTCCAGATCAGTAAATAAATTCCTCTGACTCATTTAAACTTTGAATCAGGTTCCTGGTTATTACAAAGGTGACCGGGAAGTCTAGGGACAGCTTGACGCCTCTAAAAGGATCAAGGACTGTGAAGAATACTTTAAATAAACCTTCTTCCTTGATCCACCAGACAATCCTATGAGGAAGGCATTTCCATGGGTATCTGATGGATAGATGAGAAGGCTAATTTCTGAAGGGAGGCCAGCTTTCCCCAGCATCTGGAAGCACAGCTGGCAGAGGCATGATTGTAACCTGGGACCCTGACCCCTGAACTGAGGTGGTCCCACATCCCTACATTAGAGTCCTGAACCTCCTGCCTGCCTGCTGTGTGACCTCTGACTGTCAGACCATGGGCAGAATGGAAGACAGTAACAGTGCTCACTCTGGAAGGGGAGAAGGGGGCACAAGTGAGTCACAGTAACTACTTCCTAAGTCATTGCTCTTAGGTAAGAGGGTCATAAGTTCTAGTCACGTGAGTCTCTCTCACTGAAATGCTCAACAGTGACTACTCTTGGTCTGTTTCCCAGAAACCCTCAAGGGCCAGGACAGGGCCTCACCTCTCCACCTCGTCTCGGGCTACAATGTCACCTTTCTTCAAGGCTTTGATGGCAAAGAGCTCCCCACTGGAGCGGAATTCAGACAGCAGCACCTGGCACACAGTGGACACAGGGGCCTTAGTGGACAGCCTGGGCCCTTGAAGGAAGAACGCCAAGCTCCTAGGCCCTTCCCCTGCCTCACCTTCCCAAAATGACCCCGACCCAGCACTGCCAGGAACTTGAAGTCCTCAAGCTTCAGGGGTGACTTCCTCAGGGGGCTGTGGAAAAAGGGGGCTGGTGAGCTCAGAGAGTAGGCAGGAGTGCGGGAGGGGGTGGCAGGGAGGGGCATCACCTGCACACGCCAGGGCCTGAGGTCTCCGGGGTCTCTGAAGGCAGCTCTGGAGAGGTGGTGGATTCATGGGTTGGAGAACTCTGTGGTGCAGAGGTCACAGTAGCCACAAGTCAGAACTATCCCCAAGAGCCAACAGAGCCCTGAGCTGCTACCCCCCCCTCCCGGTGCCTGGCCCACACCCCTCCCCAGGACCTTTTCCTTCTCAAATTACTTTGCCTTCAGGTTTACACGATTTTTTTTTTTTTTGGTAAGACTAGGGATGAACCTGGGCCATCACACATGCTACCCCCGGCACTCTTTATTTCCTTTGAGCAGGCCCTCACCAAACTGCCCAAGCTACCCTTGGACTTGGGGTCTTTCTGCCTCAGCCTGCAGGGTAACTTAGACCCCAGGCATGCATCAACAGGCCCAGGTCTCCCTCCTTTTGTGACCCTGTGCAGGTATCGGCTGACTCCTTATTGAAAAACAGAGCTCCTCAGAACACCCTGTCCATCTCTGCTCCATTTTCCTCCCAGTATACTTCATATTCAAATATCTTTTATCTGATTATTTTATTTTCTGGTTTCAGCCTGGACAGACTGATAGACTGATTGATTTATACTGCTGGGCATGGAATCTTGGACCTCACACCTGCTAGGTGAATGCTCTCCTACAGAGCTTCATCCCAGCCTAACCATGCCACGTGAGCTCATAACTGAAGAGAATCAGGCCTGGGGCAGCCTTCAAGATGGCTCAGATAAGGGAGGGTGCTTACTATACCAAGTCTGGTGACCTGAGGTAGCTCCCAGCACCCACACGGTGAAAGGAGAGAACCAACTCCTGCACGTTGTCCCCTGACATCCACACTTGTGAGGTGTAACATATGTGCACCCCCCAAAAAACAACAGCATACAAACATACACATTGAAAGAGAGAGAGAACCAGGCGCTGAGGGTGCAATTTGTGGTACAACACTGGCCTAGCCATGCTAGAGCCCGGGTTCCATCTTCCGTCTCCTTTCCAAATGGAAAAAGGGGACAAATAGGTGCACAGTCTCAGCACCCAGGAGGCCGAGCAGCCAGGTACAGTGGTGCAGTCTCAGCACCCAGGAGGCCGAGCAGCCAGGTACAGTGGTGCAGTCTCAGCACCCAGGAGGCCGAGCAGCCAGGTACAGTGGTGCACAGTCTCAGCACCCAGGAGGCCGAGCAGCCAGGTACAGTGGTGCACAGTCTCAGCACCCAGGAGGCCGAGCAGCCAGGTACAGTGGTGCACAGTCTCAGCACCCAGGAGGCCGAGCAGCCAGGTACAGTGGTGCAGTCTCAGCACCCAGGAGGCCGAGCAGCCAGGTAC